GTAGTTGACAAATATATGAAAAAAAAGTTCTATATAAAAAAGTGCATATCCTAAAAAAAAATTTTCTTTGAAATTGCAATCGCATTACCATTTTTCTGTACAGAATTGGGTTCAACATAAAATTCAGCATACATCACACTATTGATTTATTTGAAGCACTATATATGCGGGATTTTCATGATAATTCATATTTGAAAATTTTCATTTTTTAAAAAGTGGTAAAAACCTGGAGTGAATTTAACTTATTGATATATTATTCCTTAAGTATGTATATAGCGAGGTATGTAGGACAAAAGAAGAAATCAGAGAAAAATTTACATTATTTTATACAGGGATTTTTTTATGGCACGGCCAACATTGCAATATTATAATGCTATATCTCAATTTTTTAAATGCAATACACACTGTATATTATTTTTAATATTTTAGATACCTACAAACTTAAAAAGCAAACATTTTTGTATTTAAAATATTTCTAAACTTTTAGCAGTTGCCTTAAGCCTTATGTAATATAATTCACAGTATTATACCGTATGATCGAGTAAAAACGGCGTAAGCGATGGCTATGAAGTGAAGATCGCTGTCATTTTACATGTAAAATTATATGGGAAATGTTATCGATCGTCATTTTCAAGCCAACTGGACGCCGTTTTTTTTCGATCATACGGTACCTATTACAAAGGCTATTGCAACACTAAAGTTTTATCAAAGCGTGCTCAGGATATTTTGTCTTATATTTTACTCTGTATGGTAAAATTTTGTTTTTCTACCCATCCTATAAAAATAAAACAAAATGAAATCTCTGTAACAGGTTGCTTTACTTTTTGACTATACGAGTACACAATTTATCTAGAAATGATTCGAATTCGAAAAACTTTACCTCTGATGATGCATGGTCCCTCTAAATCATCATATCAATCAACAAGTCACTGCCCACTTTTTAGGTATTTACTTAATAGGTTGTAATCAGTAAGACGAGTAATTAAACATGCAATCACATTAAAAAACGTATATATTAATCAATTAGACACAAAACAGTGCAATAACCGGCAGAGTTAATTCAAACTCTGATTCAAACTATATATATTCCCAAATAATGCAATTCTGCATTTTCAGCCTGTCGCCTAAAATTTCTCGGGCTGATCGGGAAGTGATACATATTTTTAACGAACGGCTTTTAAGGTTTAAATTTACATTTGAGGCTCGCCTCAATACGGTCTTTTTACGCGCTACTACTCCATACATTTTATCTCTCTTCAACTAAAGATTTTGCCTATGCTATTTCTTTTCATTCTGTAGATTTAAGATTCCAGTGAACGCTGTCGCTCCGTCAATGCGATATACCACAATACGCTAGACAAGGAAAGGCGAGAGGCAAACCTCTGCACATATACTTCTTAAAGAACAAATGAGATGGATATATATATCGTCGAGTTTGTCGCATATGGGAAAGGAAGCGCGTTTAAAGGAATACCATCGACGTAATTTATTGTAGAATGACGGATAAAAAATACAATTATTATTGATGCAAATAGGGGAAAAAATATAAAATTGTGATTAAAGATGTATCGATTAATACGTGTAATTCTTCAAATGTATTGGTGAGGCACTGCCTCATCTGCCTCATAGGACAAGCCGCCCCTGCCCATATCTATGTATTGATTCCAAGGTTCGGGCATTATCCAAGGTCCTAGTAGTGTTCCAAGGTACGGGTAGTGTCCCCATATTGTCACAGTATGGATACAGCGTAAGCCCCATGCTGCTTCGTTCCCATCTATAAGCCAGTTAGTAGTTACGGCTGTATCAATTCATGGTGTCTTCATTCTGCTCCCTTTTGTTGTATTGGATGGCCGAGTACAGAGATACGAGCCCACCTCACGCTTCTACTCTTCGAAACAGGATTGCATCAAGAACAGCTAAGTGTAGATTTAGGTACTGGTTTTCAGTCGATTTTCAGTCTTAACTTAACGTACATTTTAAACGATATCGTACAGACTATATTTAGTGGTTAGATTATTAAGAACATTTATATCGATTTAGTAGTTACAATATGATTTAGATTTTAGGTTTCATTACATTACGCCTTGTAATAGTATTACTTTTTTATAGATATTATTATTGCACTAACATCATATAAAATATATCAAATTAATTAAAGTAATGCTACATTTCATATATTCTCTTAAACTTTACATGTCTTGTATTTTATCATAGTTGTTTTCATAGATATTTAGTACAATTCTTAACACCACTTTCGTTGACATATAACCACTATATATTTACTAGAACTCTACAATGTCATGTACCAGCAAATAACATCATGAATAAATATAGTCATTAGTTTTAAGTAATATACAACTGTGTTTTCTTTCTCTGTACATGCCTGGCGCCCAATATCTGTATTTTTTTGTTTATTGTTATTGATTAGTTTTCTCTCTAGTGAAATGCCTTACCCACGACTGCTCTGCGATGAAAAGCTGCCGTTCGCAGTGGTAGTTGTTATAAAAAACCGCTACACCTTATTTTCTAATCAGAGCTGCAATTAAGTCTTATTCTTATTTAAATTATTTTAATTGACTTAAAATCAAATGAATTTTAAGTCAATTTTCGAAAGCTGACTTAATATTTAAGTCTTCTTGAAAATGATCTGTGACTTAAGTCTTTTCTAAGAAGACTTAAATATTTTTCTATTTCGGAGTAAAGATTTAAGTCTTTTTATAACAGACTTAAGTCATTAAAATGATTTAAGCATTTTAATAAAACGCTTAAAGCTTGATTTTCATGCATCCGTTGTCCGACGATACGTTGATACGATATTAATTTCATTGGTTGTATTTAAAGGCTTCAATTGGTTAGAAACGGTTAACCAATCGAAGCTTTTAAATACAACGAATTAAATTAATATCGTATCAACGTATCGTCGGACAACGGATGCATGAAAATCAAGCTTAAGTCAGATTTTTGTACATTTTTATGATACATTTTTAACAGCAGCATTCTTTTTTTAATTGTTAGGCGACAACCAATCAGCAGAATAAAAAAAAACAATGCTTAATAACATTAGTAAATAAAATGTTAGTTTTTCGGAACCGGTTTTGATTATTTGTCGTATTACAGTCTGTTTTCTTTCAAGTGAATCCCCGACTCCGTTATGTATCCCGAAAGACGAATGAAAGAAATTTATCTCGAATATATTGAAGAGTACCTTAAAATCAACGATATATTAAGGTGGGTATTCACTTGCAACAAAACACTCCGAACGAACCAAACGCGCCGTGTGCGCTTTAACAAGTTTGTGTAGTCAGTACGTTACGCCGAACCGAACCGAACGCGCCAAACATTTTCCGAAGCTTGTCGGTAAACGGGATTTGCTCAAAAGAATTTGTTCGTTGGCCGGTGTTCAGAGGATAGGGCAGTTTTGAACGTTCGTTGTGTTTGGGGTGTTTTTAAACTGTACCTAGTTATGGAGTGGAACAGAGAAAAGTGTTTAGAGTTAATTGATGAATTTGAAAGGCGGCCTATTTTATTAAATTAATAATTAATTAAATTCTTCTTATGCATATAATCTGGGTCACTAAGTAAGGCCATATTATATTGACGGCGCAAAAAGAGGCGTCTTACCCACATTTTTCGTCCTTTTCTTTTTTTCTCTTTTTTGTTACCCGCTAATGCCTCTATAATTAAAAAAGCACCAGCGGCTATGGTAATATCAGATGCATCCTTATCGACAAACACACTAACACTGATTCACACACTGATTACTGGTGGGAACGCAGCGAACACCGCAAACAGGCGGAATGCTCCGCGCAAAATGTTTTGTTGCAGGTCGTTCAGAGCGCTCCCGGAAAATGTTTTGTTGCAGATTGTTTGGAGTGCGCGGCACGTTTGGTATGTTCGGAGTGTTTTGTTGCAAGTGAATACGCACCTTTACATAGCGATCAAAACATCAGCACATTTTAATAGACATGTATTCGATGATAGCTATCTGTCATATAAACATATAATATACATACATATAAAGTACAAAATTAGTTAAATTTTATTAAAAAAATATATACCAGGTGCGCCTCAAAAGTGGCTCACCCCTATAACTTTTTTATTTTTTCAGATAAAAAAACGATATTTGGTATGTTAGTATATAACATAAATTAGGATTGATTGACATATTTAATTGTTTTCGGTCACTTCCTGTTTCATCGGAAATGACTACAACTTTTGAATTTTAAATGGCACCCTTGGTATTTTTCGACTTTTTTCGATAGAATTGACATTCTCTTCTTGACATTCTGAATAGAATATCATATGTCAATTTTTGACATTCTCGCTTAATAAAAAATTGTATTTTAAATGGCTATGTTAAAAACACTAATTCTTAATCAAGGAGCCTTAGAAAAATAAATTTGATCGTCTAATGTTTTTAGTGTCTCCTCCTGGTCGGTTAAAAGATGCAAAAATCGTATTTTTAATAATATCTCAATTTTTTCAAATGGAACGAGGGTGGCTCATTAGCATATTTGTAAAAAGCATTTTTTTACGAATAATTTGATACCACACACACTTGATATTTCGAGCCAAATTTTCGTTATGAACCGCACGTTATAATTTCAAATAAACCATAAGGAAAAATGTGAAAAGTTGACATATGAAATGTCATTCTATTCAGAGTGTTATTTTCTATCGAATAAAGTAAAAAAAAAATACTGAAAGTCCTGTGAAAGAGGAAGTGACCGAAAACAATTGAATGCGTCAATCAATCCTAATTTATGTCATATACTAACATACCAAATTTCATTTTTTTAACTGAAAAAATAAAAAAAGTTATAGGGGTGAGCCACTTTTGAGGCGCACCCGGTATTGTTGTGTTGTTGTTCTGAAAATGAACCGTTTTATTTTATGTGGTTTTAGTTAGGTTAGGTTTTTTTTAGAAATGACTTAAGACTTTTTAAAACTGACTTGTTGCAGTTTCTAATATACCTTTTCTCTTTGCAGAATGTCATGAGATGTCCCGTAGCGACGCGTACGTGGGGGGCTCGCGCTCCCCTCGCGGCGTGAGGCTGCCCACCTGGACCGGTCGCCCACCAGGGCCACGGGCTACGCGGGGGCCGGCAGCCCCCTGGGCCACCGCAAGGCGCTGCGTTCGTCGCGCTCCGGCAACAACTCGCCCAGCGAACACGTGGGCGGCGGAGGCGGCATGGTGGGCGGCGGCGTGGGAGTGGGTGGCGGCGGGGGAGGCTACGGCGGCTATCAAACAGGGTACTATCGGGACGAGGACCTGGAGGAGCAGATGCTGGAGGAGAGGGGCAGACCGATGGCGGTGGGGCCGGGGCATCACAGGTCTAGGAGCGCAACTAGGTGAGTTAAACAATATTATTTTTTATCGCTTCCCTTTTTCTTTCTCCACTCTGCGCATCTCATATGGACGCCACTTGGGTCGTATCAATCGATTTTATGTCAGTTCGTACGATCCAAACAAGTGAGACGCGAGTATCGTCCAAATATATTTGATCCAAGTACACTTTAACCATATCAACCTGGCTTTAAGGCTTTGGGCAGATTGGACAAACAACCTGGCTATCGGCAGCTTTTGGTACATCGAAATAAATATAGTCATTGGACCGGCTGCCGATACCCCGTGCTTCGGACCTTAATCTGACGTTCATTCATTTATTTCTATGTAGACCAAAACCTGCTGATAGCTCTAGTGGAATCGAGTCAATTCAATGCACGTCCTTCCAACAAGAAGGATAAGCAATCCTTCCAACAAGAGGGATTGTCAGGACGTACAGTGTCCCGCAAAAGTGCGTCATGCATCTGTAGCTCCTAGAATAAAAACTTGGAAATTTTGTTTAAGTGCTAACCTAAAGTATGTACTAGGATGTATTTCAGGAAAATATTTTAACTTCCATGGGGTGGGTCAAAAAAGTGTTAGTGGATCGGGATGATTTTTTTTAGATGAAACACCCTGTATATTGTTACATTTTTGGCTTCCTTTCAGATCACTTTACATAATCCTAAGATATGTGTAGATATATTTCGATAGTTTCAGAGATATTAATAAATAAATAAAAAATATGTATTTTTCAGCCTCTCTTAACAAAATGATTAAAATACAAGAACTGTCCTAAAATCAAAATTATATTACGTATTTACGTTAAATGGTCTGTACTTACTTTGCTATAAATATCGTAATCTTAAATAATACAGGATGTTCAAAATTCTACGTCAAACTTTCTAAAATACAAAATAAATTTTCTTCGTTTTTTAAATGAAACACCCTGTATATTTAAATTGTACACCCTGTAGAGATTAAATTATTTTCTTAAAATGCATCTTAATACATACTTCACGCTTGCACTTAAACAAAATTGCCAATTTTTTTATTTTACGAGCTACAGGTACTTTTTTTTAGAACGAGTTGCTTCATATTAATTGCTTTATAATGCACCGTTTACACATAACATTTTATCTATTCAGTCAAAACGGGCCGTTCTGCTTAAAATGAATTAAGACGGATAGTTCAATTTTGCATTGTTGTTTTGCATACACTGAAAAACGGGAACCAACTGAAAGCGGAACTGAAGAATCTGGAAGACTCCATCCGTAACTTGGAATGGGTGTCCTCCAACGGTCTAAGACACTCGAAAAAGTTCCTCAGAACTTACGACCGAAAAAAATCAAAGGTTTTCCTTGATTTAAGTAAAAATAATCTTCGGATTGTGGCCCTCCGTGCCGCCCTTCACAGTCGAGGAGCTTGCCTCTGGCGGAGGAACCCGTGAGGTGGAGGCTGGAGGATCTGTCTCCATTTTCTCCACCTCTTTAACTTGGTCTCTCCTTAGACCTGATACTGGTGTTGTCCCGTATCTATAATAGAGGATATGTTCCTCTTTCTCTATTGCCTCCTTGGATTTGAGGTCAATTCCTATTGTTAGGACCTGACCATGACCATCCTCCCTCGAGTTGATGACTCGCCAACTCGATGTCCATAATACATTGAAGCTCTGACGTTGGATAAGGCTCAGCAGGTAGGTGGTGTCTTTCTCCTTGCTCCTCGGCAGAAAGACCGTTATTGCCGAAAGCCGTCTCAGATACTGGCTTTTGTTAAAGCCCTGAGGCTGTATGATGAGTTATAACTCGTTATAACTCAAGAAAGGGGAACACACAATAGATCTATAAGGTCGCGGTGATTAGCTCCCCTCCTAAACATTCTACATTCTACATACACTGAAAAATATAAGTAATAAATATAAACAATATATGGATTTATTACAGCATCAGTAGTCAGTGGGGCACTTGAGACAGACAACCGATATAGAACAATAAGCATATGACGTAAATCAACTAAGAACATGTAAAATAGAATAATAAACAACTGTTTAAATTTACCACAAACTAACTTAGGTTAGTCTGTGGATTTACTTAGTAAGCAAAATGGTAGATTATTCTTTTTAATTATGATGCTGTGCAATTGCCAAGTCATTATAATTATTACAGAAATAAATATAAATATAAAAGTCTAATATTCATACTACCAAACCAAACAAAACAACTTTTAACAAAATAGTTGAATAGGTACTAAATAAAATAAACTGACTTGGTTTTACATTATATGTATTTCACAGTTGTGAGATCTATATTCATATATTATTATTATACCCGGTGCGTCTCAAAAGTGGCTCACCCCTATAACTTTTTTACTTTTTCAGTTAAAAAAACGAGATTTGGTATATTAGTATATGACATAAATTAGGATTGACTGACGTATTCAATTGTTTTCTGTCACTTCCTGTTTCATCGGAAATGACTACAACTTTTGATTTGTAAATGACACCTTCGGTATTTTTTTACTTTATTCGATAAAAAATAACACTCTGAATATAATGACACATCATGTGTCAACTTTTAACATTTTCGCGTATGGTTGATTTGAAATTATAACTTGCGGTTCATAACGAACATTTGACTCGAAATACCAAGTGTGTGGTATCAAATTATTCGTAAAAAAATGATTTTTCCAAATATGTTAATGAACCACCCTCGTTCCATTTGAAAAAATTGAGATATGATTAAAAATACGATTGGAGCATTTTCTAACTGGCCAGGACAAGATACTAAAAACATTAGACGATCTAATTTATTTTTCCAAGGCTCCTTGATTAAGAAATAGTGTCACAAATAGTGATTTTAACATAGCCATTGCACTCTAGATTGAAATTTAAAATAAGATTTTTAGTTTAGCAAAAACGTCAAAAGTTGACATATGATGTGTCATTCTATTCATAATGTCATGTTCTATCGAATAAAGTAAAAAAATACCGAGGGTACCATTTAAAAACCGAAAGTTTTAGTAATTTCCGGTGAAACAGGAAGTGACCAAAAACAATTGAATACGTCACTCAATCCTAATTTATGTCATATACTAACATACCAAATCTCGTTTTTTATCTGAAAAAATAAAAAAATTATAGGGGTGAGCCACTTTTGAGATGCACCCGGTATAATAATAATAATAATAATAATAATAAATAATCTTTATTTCGAAAGTATGTTAAATAACATAAAATGAAACAGAGTCAAAAACAAAAATAACTTAACCTAGTTTTATGAATAATTTACATTAATTTACAGATAGGTAATCCTTTAAATTATATAATGTTCCAAATCTATTAAAAATTTATACAAATGATTTTTGAAAGGCACTATATTATCTATTTGTTTTATATAATCGGGTAGGTTATTAAACAATTTCAAACAATAATAATATGGTCCTAATACTGTTAATTTAAGCCTGTGGACTGGATAATTATAATCAGAATGCCTGGTGTTATATAATATCTGTGGCTAATCAATGTCAAATCCGGCTTATCAATGTCAAATAGGTTTTTATTTAAAAAAAAAATAAAGTGCACTCCTGAATTAAAATAGCTGTCACTGTTAGTATATTATTCACTTTGACAATTTGTATTCAACTTGAATACTTCCACTATAAAAAGTTTTTTACAGTTTAATTGTATTGCGAGACTTGGTATTTTTACATTTTATATTTTTCAGTAAAAAATTCCAAAAGTAGTATTCTATTTTTCATATTTATTAGTTTTTGATGGGATCTCATTTCTTATATCCTCCTACTTTTTTCTCGGGTAAAGAAGTTTCTTAATATTAAAGAAGTATAATTCCTAAGGTTAGAATTATTGTGTATAAAGTCAGATAATATCAAATTACTTCTAATTTTCTAAGAACTTGTGTTTCCGACTTTTGTTATAACCCAACTTTAATAACTTAAATATTTCAACTTTAAAAATGTTCAAGCCATGATTTTATCATGCTCAATGCATCATTTTATCAATGCTTATTCAAAATCATGTTTTTGTCAATTTTGCAAATATTTTTAGGGGTAGTATTTTTCATGAAATTTTTTTTTTTTACAATTTGGCATTTTTTGAAAAAAATTTTTTTTTTTAGTTTTCATTTAAAAATATAATTTGTTGATAATATGGCAACATAGGCAGTAGATTAAATTTACAAAAAAGAAAATCCAGGAATGATCCAGTGGTTCTCAAAATTTTAGCAAAAAAAATTTTTTTGGGGATTTTCAAAGTAAACTAACTCGGTTATTTTGGATTTATTTGAAAAACGGCAAAGAGAAAATATGTTTCTTTTATCGAGATCTACCAGCCTTGAAAATATTTGCACCTATTTAAGACTCAGTCTGTATAAAAAATAGGTATACGTAGGTTAGTGTAATAGAAAAAATATCAGATATGAAAGTAGTTTCCAAAAATACTGGATGCGTTCCATTTAAAATAACAAAGAATAACTTTTATAAATCATCCGGCGATACTGTAACGCTGATAATATTTTAGATAGATGGAGCAATTGCCTTTAGAGTGTCAGTGAGTCAATGTCGAAATTAAAGAAATGTGACAAGCGATAGTTTATAAACCATGAGGTATAATACTAGATATTTTGGTAATCTAGCCAGCTATAGTATGTCCTCATATTTAGTTAAAATTAATATTCTTGCTTTATCTATAACGAAATTACAGGGTGGTCAAAAGTGCCGCTAATACCTTCGAGAAAAACATGGTACGGCTGTATTGGATTTGGCGTTGTTTATTGGCGTTAGATTTATTTTTTGTTTTTTTTTTCAATTAAATAAATTTAATGTTTATAGCACGATTTATTTTTATTTCTAGGCCCACAAACCCAATGTCTGTCCGTTACCAATCTTTGGATAGAGGCCCTACAGTAGACCACGACAGAGAATTTCTACCAATTCGAGATCGTAGAGATCGTTCCTTAGATAGAGCACTTTATTTCGAAGATGACCCCTACAGGTAACTATTATTATGATAACTAATAATTGGTATACTCATAATCCACATATGAACCAACAAAAATAATATTTTATCATATACTCGTTATACCAGATTGACTCAGAAATACGAAAAAATCAAAATTAAAATATTTGATTTTTATCAAAACCAAACCAAATCACACCGCCTAATAGTTAAGTGAAGTCAAATGTGAGATTTTTTTGTCAATTTTGTGGTACGGATGGCTGATTAACCCAGGGTTGCTACTACCCGTCCCGATTTTTTCGGGACAGTCCCGATTTTGATCCAAAAGTCCGGCGTCTCCACACAAAGCCCCAATGTCCCGATTTTTATTTGTTTAACAGCCACGTTTTTATTGAACAATAAAATTGTAAAATGTATTATTAAAAATACATGTTTATTAATTTCTTAAATTTAAAAACAGTTCTTTTCCACGAATTAATTAAAATCTTAGAAATTTTAGAATTAAAAGAAGTAAATATTGATACTATGGTTTAATGAATATTCGATAATAAAAACTTGCCTAAAGAAATTTGCCAAAAAGGATATAAAAATTATAGATAAAAAAATAAAGTATCTTTAAAACTAGAGTAAATTTATATGCCTTCATTGTTTAAGTGTGGTTTAAGGTTGTTATTTGTATATTTTCACATATGATATTGAAATAGACAGATGCTAGAAATAGATGGTTCAGTTAAGCTCATTAGAACGGAACTTCAAATCTCAATTAATTTTGATATATCGCATATAAGTATTTTTGGATTTTATTAAAAATGACAATGCACTTATTATTGCAGCAACAAAACAAATAAAAAATATTAATTGCAGTTGGGGGTTGGAACCTTTGGTGTTACATCAGCAAAATAAAACACTAACTCACTGCAATACACCAAAAACACTTTTGCTTTTAACACTGGGCGCTCGTTTCGCTAACCATAAATTTGAAGCTTAACCATCAGTTTTCATCAGCTGCTGATGATGCTAGGCTGGTTAACAAAACGCGCGTCCAGTGTTAAAAGTAAAGTCGTTACCAAAACTTAAGTGTGCTAACTTTAACTTTTACCAAAATGTTATTATTTTGGTAAAAGTTTGAAACGCCTTGTGGAGCGTGTTAAAAAAGCAAGGAATTTGAAAAAAATTTATCATCTAGGTGGTTATCTTTTCTCGACAGTTTATTTTTTGGTAATTTTTAGATTAAAACCATGCCTTTGCTTTTGGTCCCAGTAAACAGACCTATGAAATAGTGTTTATGATATAATATTACTGTTATTGTGAAAAATCATATTATTATTGTCTGTTGGGCAATTACTTTAGCAGAGATGATTTTATATCCAAAAGTTGCATCCTTAGATTAAGAATAAATATCCGCTTTGTTGTATCCGCTATAGTTGTATCCGCTATAGTTCTACTGTTGAGTATCCGCTGAGGTTGTATCCACTATAGTTGCTTTAACTGAAGACAACAGGGATCAAAATTATGTCACTAACAGATATAGGGATGCACGAAGTACAGTACAGTCGCTTCCTCGAGACTATAGTTTATATGCTAGACGACCCAGAAAGCTTCGTATGAGAGTCTGCCAAACTAGAACAAAATATATCGGGTGCATCTCAAAAGTGGCTCACCCCTTAACTTTTTACTTTTTAGATAAAAAAAACGAGATTTGGTATGTCAATAAATTAGGATTGAGTGACGTATTCAATTGTTGTCGGTCACTTCCTGTTTCACCGGAAATGACTCCAACTTTGATTTTTAAATGGCACCCCTCATAACGACAATTTGACTTTGAAATAGTAAGTGTTTGGTATCAAATTATTCATAAAAAATGCTTTTTTCAAAGTATGCTAATGAGCCACCTTCGTCTATTTGGAAAAATTTAGATATGATTAAAAATATGAGTTGGGCATCCAATCTATTTTTCCAAGACTCCTTGATTACAAATTAGTGATTTTAACATAGCACATAGCCATGACACTCTAAACTGAAATTTAAAATACGATTTTTTTAAGTTTAATTATTAAGAATTTGGGTTTAGTGTGAATGCGTAGAATAAGTGAGTGTAATTAACCCAGAGCCTATACAGGCCGAGGTTCAACAAATTAGAGACAAGCTGAAATTTGGTATGGAGCTTCATTTTGTAGATCTATAAACATCCTGAAACCTCAGCGATGAAACGTTGAGCCCGTCACCCTAAAACCAGTCCTACAAGGGGTAAAAATGGCCCCTTTTTTACTTTTTCTTCAATAACTCTAAAACTACAAATTTTAGGAAAAAAAGTCACGAGTGAAAAATTGATAATTTATTAGGATACAAGTTCCTATAAAAACGATCTTTTTAATAAAGGTAAGTTACCAGTGGCGGAGATAATATTTTTGAAATGTGCGTTTTTTACATTTTAAAAACATTGAATAAGAAAATTGCAGTTTTTACAAATAACTTCCCATGAAATAGGTATATTGAAAAATTTACATGTTTAATAACAAAATAAGAAAAACCTTAGCTCGAAAATAGAATAACTTGTCTTAAGGATATTCCTCATTCACTTCCACATTGGCCATTGCATTGACCTGTGCCATAGTGCAGGTGAGTCCCATTCGTTTGCATGTACATGCTTTTTACAGCCTCCCGAAGAGCAATTGCAAAATTTTTTCTCTAAACCCATGTAGGAGCAATGATCTGGTCGAATATGCCCTATTGATTCATCTCTCGATTTTTCAGATTCCATCCCCAATTTTGCGGTGGTAAATTGTTATTTAACCAAGCCTGTACCTGTTAAAAATGAGAATTTAGTTTAACATTTGAATGCAACATAAATTTAACTTACCTGATGAAAAACTTTAAATCCATGATATTTCGCACTATTGAGGTAGGTGGTAATGATGCCAAGTTGAAGTTGGTATTAAGACTTCATTTAGCTACGTACTGTTGATAAAGCATGTATCTGGCACTATCAAAATCTACTTTTTTTGTCGAGTTTTTAACATATGCTGCTATAAAAAACTGAGATGTAACTTCTTCTAACTTCTCCTTTGTAGCCTCGGAATTATAAAGTTCTTTTAATAGCTCACAACTTTTTCTTCTGAATGGTGTTTACTAAATTTATCTTCCTTTTATTGAACACAGCAGACGTTGTGTCACAACCATATATAGCGTGGACACTAAGAATCACATTCTTTAGATCCCCAATTTTTGTTGTAAGGCCGATATGTCGATTATTTTATTTGGTTTTGACACCTTTCCCGGACGAATCATAAACAGTCTCTTGTGGCAATAATGAATCAGTAACACGATAATGTCCGTATCTTCGCTAACTACTGCTACGATCCCTTCTGGTAAATTGTCACTTATTGCGACCACTGTAGTTACAATAAGAGTATCGGCATTACCATCAACGAATTTAACATTGATTCCATTTTCCACCAATAGTTTTCCGAGCGCACGAATGAAGTTGTTTTTGTTGCTGTTGTTTGACAAAAAATCTGCCTTTGGTACCTTCACTGCAGATAAATTCGAAAAAGATACAATTTGTACCATTTTTTACCTGCAGATCTGCGATTTTCCTCCACAATTTTGGTCTGTATCTCTTCATAGCCATCAAAAACAACAGTGAGATTTTTACCATAGTCATATGTTATATAATTATAGTATTGAGAAACCAGATCTGAAAATATCGCAGGGTACAGGCTTGGTTAAATAACAATTTACCACCGCAAGATTGGGGTTGGAATCTGAAAAATCGAGAGATAAATCCAATACATTCAGACCACCCCATTGCTCCTACATAGGTTTTAGAGAAAAATTTTTGCAATTGCTCTTCGGGAGGCTGTAAAAAAGCATGTACATGTAAGCGAATGGGACTCACCTGCACTATGGCATGTGGTCAATGCAATGGCATTACATGTACGAACCCAACAAATGTGGAAGTGAATGAGGACTATACTTAAGACAAGTTATCCTATTTCTGAGCTAAGGTTTTTCTTATTTTGTTATTAAACGTGTAAATTTTTCAATATACCGATTTCATTAGAGTCTTTTAATCTTGTACAAGTTATCAACGAACCTACTCATGTTTCGGATGGTGCCTGCAGCCTAATTGATGTAATGATCACAAAAAATAATTTTAATTATGATTTCAGTACTTCCGTCCCTGTATCTGAGTCAGTTTCTGATCATTGTTTGATATATGTTATATTTACTCTACAAATATCCCATAGCTCTCTACGAAATATATTGAATATAGAGATTATAATCATAAACCAGGAAAAAATTTAAAAAAGATGCAATTATGTTACCTTGGGAAAATATTTTTATATAGCGGATATTAATATTAAAATAAAAACCTCTATATAATTACATTTTTTATCTCCTCAATAAACATGCACCGTTGAAAAGAAAAAATTGCAGATAAACCATATTTACTCCTGGATAACGGATAACATTAAATTATTAATCAAACTTAGAGACAAAGCACATCAAAAATATTTAAAACAACGATCTGAAGCCAAATTACAATATTATTATCGTCAACTCAGGAATTTTACAAAACATGCTATAGTTAGAGAAAAAAATAGTTATTTTAAGGGTTTATCGGAAAAGACTGGTAAAGACTTCTGGAAAGATGCTAAACGACTTAAGTTAACATTTAAATCAAGTCCGGAAGTTCCTGAAAACTTAGCGGATGTAGATAAGCTTAATATTTTTTTCTCGAACTGTCAGAATTGCATTAATAGTACATCAAATAAAAAAATAGATTTTTATAGACAAAATAAGCATGAAAAAATAGAGAATAATTTCTAAATTTCAAACTAATAGATGAGGTATCGTTACATCAAATATTAAATTCTATTCGGTCTAATACTGTCGGTGAAGATGATTTATCAATTAAAGTACTAAAGCTGCGCATGCCTTACTGTGGTAAAGCAGTAATAAATATAATTAATACTTCTATTTTAGACAATGTCTATCCCGAAATATGGAAAAAAGCTATTATAACACCTCTCTGTAAAATTTCCAAACCTTTAAATAACAACGATCTAAGACCCGTGAGTATTTTGCCAGCAATTTCTAAAATTATAGAAAAACATCTACATAATCAAATCGTTTCATTTGTAGATTCAAATAAACTAATACATGAATGCCAATCTGGTTTTCGTAAGAACTACAGCACTACCACTTGTTTACTGAAGCTGGTTAATGATATTAGAACAAATCAAGAAAATAAAAATATGACGTGTCTTAGCTTACTAGACTTTTAGCATTTGATACTCTAGACCATTCATTGCTCCTAGCAAAATTACAGTATTTTGGATTTTCAGACGGCTCTTTAGAATTGATAAAAAACCTTTTAAAAGATAGATCACATTGTGTTGTCATGAAACGGGGAAGTTTAAAACAAAAATCTAGTTATATTCCTATGATTTCTGGGGTTCCTCAGGATCTATTCTGGGGGCCACTTTTATTTTCGTTATATGTAGCTGATATGAATAAGGAATTACAGTTTTCTGAATTGCAGCAATATGTAGATGATTCTCAAATTTATTGCAGAATAGATACTAATAATTTGGCACAATTTCAGTTAAATTTTAAGGACGATCTTAATAAAATTAATAAATATGCTCTGGATCATAATTTGAAATTAAATGCCGGTAAATCTTGCGTTATAGTATTTGGTAGTTGTATTATTTGTGATATTAATTACACGTTGATTTATTATTTATATTTATTTATTAACTTATGTACAGGTAGCATAAACTTAACTTAACGTGAACTTCACCTAACCTCGACTGCGTTCCCGCGCTCTCCTTGTTGCGTCCTTGTCCAATTCCACAGAGTAGTAACCGCACTCATCACAATACATATTACCACAGTAGTGATATAAACAAAATTACAAATACGGCTGGTAACATGAATATCCATATAGATAATGTTGCGATACCCATTGTTACAGAGAAATCTTGGAGTCTATTTTGATGCGAAGCTTTCTTTTCAGGCACATATAACTACTAAATTAAAGGCTGCTTATATACGGTTGAAGAATTTTTCGTCTCTTAAGAAATATATATGTACCATCAAAGACTAATCAATTATGTGATACATTTATTTTATCTTTATTTGATTATGGCGATGTTGTTTATGGTACATCCATAAACGCTAGATTCTCTAGAAAAATCCAAATACTTCAAAACTCGTGTCTGGCGGTTTTCTTTAACATTCCTTTTAGAGATCATATAACGCCACATCTTAAAAACTTATCTATTTTATCCATGACTAACAGACAACAATTTCATTTAATGACATTCATTTATCGAATTTTAACTACAGAGCAGCCTCCCTATTTGTTCTCATTGTTTTCACTACGTTGACCATGATCATTCGACTAGACAAGTGCATTATTTTAAAATTCCTCAACACCGAACAGCTAACTTCCAAAAAATCTTTCAGTTTCATGGCGCCACATTTGTGGAATAATATTTCTAATAACTTTAAATTTCAATCCTTTACAGATTATAAAAACAAATTAAAAAATCATTTACTAAATTCGTAAATATTATAACTCTCTCTGACTGATTTGTGGAGATCTTGTTCTTCTGATATGCCCGTCATTGGTTGCTGTTCCGGTTTTTACACTGTTTCATTGTGCCTCTCTGCTTATTCTCCGCTCATCCCTGATAAAATTATATTTTCACTTTTTTATATAATTTTAATTTTTTTTAATTTTGTTTATTTCTAAAATTTAATTTATTTCTATTTTGTATTTGGGGTCGCACCACTCTGGCACTTTGTGCCATTGTATCGGTTTTTTAATCGCGGTGCGATCCCTTTAGACACGCATTTATTAATACCAATATTATTCTGTAAAACTTAATGGGGTCTAATAAAGAAATTTGAATTTGAATTTGAATTTGAAAGTAATTTTGTGTGAATTTTAAGACCGCTAAACGCAGGGATTTATTTTAAAATTTATGTATAAGTGACAAAAATTCGCTGTTCGAATACATATCATTCGCAGACTGGTGCAGAACTAGGTTCTTCTGATATAGAGACGACTATATCTTCATTCCCGAAAATCTATAATCGTTGTCAGAAAATGTATGTTGTTTTATATTTTTTTTTGAAACGTTGGTATGTTTCCAAATTCTTACCGACATTTTGACTTGCAGTAAGTACTTTACACTTTGACATTAGGTAATACATAATCAAGGATAATACTAATTTCATTCTCGACTTAAGACTATTCCCGAACAATAGTGTATTGTTTTATTAAGAGTAGAAATGATACTTTTTTGACAATGCTGTACATTTTGAGGACCATCGTAAAGCTATTCCGACGTTACAAGGAGGCACAAAAAGTACATTTTTACTTCGAATAAAACACCATTTTTTTAAAACATTACAAATAATTTTTTAATCAATTTCAAACAACATGCAACTAATACAAACAGTAATCGAGAAACGATCTGTACACTCGTTGAATTAGACACCCAATATCAGTTTAATAATATATTTTTGCACTTTTGTGCTTAGGCGTAACAATGCTTTACTTTTATGCCTAGCCATTAAAATGATAAAAATTAATACTTTTGAGACGTTTGAAAAAAAATCCTTTTGATCTGAAGGGAGCGATTTTTTTTTGCGGAATATATTGGTGACCGATGTGGAAAAATTACACGAGCCGTAGAATTGTTAATGTTATCGGTATCGCTCAGAGTTATAAAGATTAAGCCATTTAGCATAAGACTTTAATTGGAAATAAGTCCTAGTCATTTGGAAATCCGATTTAAATATTGATTTGAATTAAAATCCAAAAAATCTGATTTAAATAAAAAAAAATCTGTTTTAAATAAAAAAAATCTGATTTAAATAAAAAAAAACTGATTTTTTTGATTTTTTTTTTAAATCATGATTTTTTCCAACCTTGATTAAAACCATCTTCCTAAATTAAAGAATTCGCACCTGCGCCACTGAAATTCTAAAAATTTTAGCTCTTTACCTATGCAGTAGGAAATTTTCTTCTGTTCAATTTTTTACCCGTGACTTTTTTTTCTAAAATTTGTAGTTTTAGAATTATTGAAGAAAAAGTAAAAAAGGGCCATTTTTACCCCTTGTAGGGGTAGTTTTGGGGTGACGGGTTCAACGGTTCATCGTTGGGGTTTCAGGATTCAGCGAAAGTAAAGATCTGATTCAGCGAAAGTAAAGATCTACAAAATGAAGCTCCATGCAAAATTGCAACTTGTCTAATAATAATTTAATAATTTATTAATTTGTTGAAGGTCACCCATGTAAAACGATGTATCGGCCGTGAGATAAATTTTCTATCCAATAAAGTAAAAAAATACTGAGGGTGCCATTTAAAAATCAAAAGTTGTAGTCATTTCCGATGAAACAGGAAGTGACCAAAAACAATTGAATACGTGAATAAATCTTAATTTATGACCTATACTAACATACCAAGTCTGTTTTCTTTTAACTAAAAAAATAAAAAAGTTAGAGGGGTGAGCCACTTTTGAAACGCACCCGGTACATTAAACTTTAAAATACATTCAATTTTTAAAGTGCCCGTTTTTCCTGTCATTTAGTATATTTTATTTCTTTAAGTTATTTCAAAAAAAGTTCCTACTGTTTTAGGTTAGGTTAGGTTAAAACTTATTATTTTTTCAGCACTCGATCTGCACGGCAGTCTCCAACATCGCATCAACCCTTCATTGGAGAACTCCAGCATCAAAATTCCGATCTCCAACGTGACTTGGCCAACCTCAAAAAAGAACTGGATCTAACCAATCAGAAACTAGGCTCCTCGATGCATTCGATCAAGACCTTTTGGAGTCCTGAGTTGAAAAAGGAACGGGCTTTGAGGAAAGAAGAATCAGCAAAATACAGCTTGATAAACGATCAGTTGAAGCTGTTGAGTAGCGAGAACCAAGTAAGTATCTACTAGTACGACTTTTTTATAGACGATACGCCAAAATTATCATCGACTGTCATTTCCCAGCCATATTCGATGCCGGTTTTTTTTTCGATACATTATTACATCATAAATTGACGTATAACTAATATAACAATATTTCTAAAAACAATTATTAATATTTGAGAAAATTAATGCAGGAAGTTCTAAAATAAAGAACAAAGAGTCGGCTGTGAATGAGTGACATTCGCGGTGTTTACATACATAAGATGGGAAACAAATTTCTTGCAGTATAGGTATATAATAACATTATATAAGAATTCTTGCCATTTAACTGCTGATATAGAAATTTAATTCCACGCTGTGTTTGTCATAATGTGGATCAACCTGCTCTCACTACCGGTTTCGGAGCTCTACTTCATCATCAGGTGGGCTTGGATCGATTCCACAAAATGACAAACATAGCGCAGAGTACCTAAATCCGACTTGTCGGAAAGTAGTTGTTAGATGTTAGATATTAAGTCCCACACGGGAGATAGCGGCCTGCGTGCAATGGTAGTACTTTCGTACCACCAAGGCGCAACTATATCGATAGTAAAAAATGCTTTTTTTCGAGGCAAGCCAAATTATAAAATGGAAAACAAATTTCTTGCAGTATAGATATATAATAAAATTATATAAGAATTCTTGCCATTTAACTGCTTATATAGAAATTTAATTCCACGCAGTGTTTGTCATAATATGGATCAACCTGCTGTCACTACCTGTTTCGGAGCCCTACTCTATCATCAGGTGAGCTTGGGTCGATTCCACCGTCGTCATTTTACATCAGCAGTTAAATGGCAAGAATTCTTATATAATTTTATTAAATACATGGGTACACTTAATATATAATTTTATTTCTTCGGTTTAAAACGTTTTTCTACGTTGTCCGATACCCAATTTCCAGCCTGTTCTATTCGTACAATCCTCTGTTGACAGGTTTCTTTCACTCATCGCTTTGTGTACGCTTTTTTGCCATTCCAGTTTCGGTTTTCTATATTTTCTTCTGCGTTTTGGTTGCCAATTGATTATTTTCTTAGGATATCTTGTATTCTTCATTCGCTCTACATCGTACCAGATCATCCGCCGTGCCTTTCTCCTATATATGCTGTGTTATTGTGCTATCTATACCCATTTGTTGTTTTATGGTAATATTTCTTATTCGTTTTTGTCTGGAAATTCCCATTGATCTTCGTTCGATTCGCCCCTATCCTTCTTCCTCTATCCTCTTCTTGTATTTCTCAGTTATTCTCCATGTTTCTGCTCCATATAGGTGGCTGCTCTTTATCATGGTCTCATATATTGAATTTTCTTTGCTTTGTTATTGATTTGCTCCATAAGATTCCATTTAGACATCCGATTATTTTTTTCGCGTTGATAATCCTTTTCTCTATTTCTCTATCATTAGTTACAGTGTTATCAAATGTAACTCCTAGGTATTCATACTCATTGAGTAATTTCTTGACCTATTTCCAAGTTCAAATGTTTTGTCTATGTTAACTGTCAAGCCCCATTCTCCGTATTATTCAATAAGTTTTCTTAGCATATATTGCATATCATCTTTGTCATTGGCGACTATTCGTTCGATCGTTTGCAAATTGAAGTGTGAACAAACATTCATTGCCCATACCATGGATCTTTCTTTTCTATTTTTTTAAAACGACTGCAACGTATATTTTAAAGAGAGTAGGGGAGATGCAAGAACCTTGACGTAGTCCTTTGTTGGTTTTTTTCCTATCTCTATTTTGCGCTCTTATATAGTTCCATAAAAGCTGTTATATATGCATTGTTAACAGTAGATTGTTCCAGTACTCTCTGTTCCAGTCTGGATATTGAGACAGTGTCGTATGCTTTCCGTAAGTGTCCTAAGTGTGTAACCTAACAAATGTGTCCAAGTTTCTTGCCGATCTTTTTTTTATAACTTGTTTTAAACAGAACACGTTATCTGTATACGACCTTCCTGCTCTAAAACCAGTCTGTTCTTCTTCTTCCTTTTCTCTATAATCTTCTTCTATGAGATCACGTAAAATTCTACCATATAACCTGCTCATTGTGCTCGTCACTGATATATTCGACAGTAGTTACTGCAGTCTAGCTTATTGCCTTTTTTATGGATTGAGGATATAAATCAGCTTCCAGTCTTTTGGAATAGGATGTCACATTAAGCACCTATTGAAAATTGATGTCAAGCTTCTAAATAATTTCTGCGTATGATTTTTTAACATTTCGGAATATATTCCTTCTGAGCTGCTTGCTTTACCTGATTTTAAGTTCTTGGAACACAATTTGTGGTTTTCAACACACATCTCTTATAAGTGTTGAATATATTCTTCTTGTATTGCCATATTCGGTCTGTGCGTACACGGGATCTATATTTTATTGTTTTGAGTCTGAAACGGCACTAAGTACTATTTGAGAGGTTGTACTAAGCAAATATACACAAGATGGTTTGCTACTGCCTTCCTTGAATTGGCGGCTCCACTCTATCTAAATAAATAAATCTATACTAAATAAAATAAAAAATATTGAAAAAAATGCAATTACAATAACGGCCATGACCATTTTTTTTTCTATAAATCACTTTATCTTCTGCATCTTTATTCTATACCTTGTGTGATAAATATTTTCCTTGAAATATCAGACGTCTTATTCAGTGTACGGCAATAAAAATCGAATCTCACGAATCCTACAGAGAATATAAAGGATTTTCACAACGGCTGCCTGCACGTGTTACTGCCATAAGCTATCACATAACACGTATGGTTTGTTTGGTTTACCAGAGCTGTCATTTGATCGTACGGACTTATCGATTGATTTACACAGCTAGGAAGAAACCTATATAAACACAGAATTCAAATTGAAGATGTATTAATTCTTTAGCAATTTAAATAGGTATTTATTTGTAACTAATTTTGAATATACTTTTATTAACAACTTTGTATAAATGACCACCAACCATGTGCACCAATAAAACAAATATTTTTTTTTCTTTTCAGTTACAAAATATCGTTCAGGGTGATGAAAACAAATTCTGGTAAAGTCTGAGCTCTTAATATTAATATTAATATTAAGCGGGATCTCATCGCGATTTTCTATTTCGTATTTAAGTAACACGGGGAAACATTTTTTTTTTAAATTTTATTGCGTTCTAACAAATCAGCGTTTTGTAAAAATCAATACAAATTCTTGTAGGAAATTGAATAATCTTCAAAAAAGGTCTGATATAAATTTTCATTTAATGGACTCGTTTGAAAGTTATTGAAGGTTAAAGTTCAACTTCGAATCGTATATGATAACTTCCACAATTTTTCATAATATTTTATCACAAAAAATTAAAAGTCCATACCAAAACGTGGTATAACGATGCTTCCAAAACCAAATCAGGAACAAGAACAGAGGTAGGAGTCTTTGGACCGAAAACTAAATACTCCGAATGAAAGGGCATCTACCCCAGCATCCGTCAGGCAGAAATTTACGCTATCGAAAGATGCATATAACTTATCTTACACAGGAATAACTATCAGAAACAAAAAATAGCCATCTTATCATCCAAAGTTAAGTAGCGTTAAGAGCGATGTACCATCGATTCCATCAATTCGAAGTTGGTTACAGAGAATAAATTACGTAAAGAAAATCCCCCTACTCTGGGTGGCCAGCCCACCAATGATTAGAAGACAATGAAAAAGCAAACGATCTAGCTATAAATGGAGCGAACGCTCCACTAACTGGACCAAAACCGGTCTGCTTGCTAAGTGGAAACCCACTTAAAGCGGAACTCAATTACCTGGAGGACTCCAACGGTCTAAGACTCTCGAACAAATTTCTGAGGACTTGCGATCGAGACAAATCAAAGATTTTTCTTGATTTAAGTAGGAACAGTTCGGATTTTCACTGGGTTTTTAACAGGAGACGAATCTTCTCAATGAACAACTCAGTAGATTGAAGCTGAGAAAAAATGGCGAATGTAGATTTTGTGGGGAAAATGGAGAACATCTCATCACTGGGTGCGCAGAGACGACAACCATTCGTGGCATAAAAGCTAACTTTTGTAAAACCATCTCAGATACTGGCTTTTGTCAAAGCCCTGAGAATGTATGCTCAGTTATAACTCAAGAAAGGGGGTCACAATAGATCAATAAGATTGCGGTGATTAACTTCACCCCTCCAATGCAATCTACAAGAATAAGACTAAGACTAGAGTTTGATTTTCAAGACCAAAACCAAGACCGACCAGTGCAAGACTTCCACAAGACCAAGACCAAACCTGCAAGATCTTTGTGATCTTGCATTTTTTTTCACGTTTATATGATATAAGAAACTACTTACTTGTTCAAAATTATTGTTTTAATTTATGACAAATAGTGTTGAAATGAAATGCCCTGATCCAATATAATACAGGGTAATATACAGGGTATAATACAGGCCGCCCATACGCCGCGGAAGCTCCAAGGAGAATAGTAGTTTATATCGAAATGAAATTTTGGCAGCATATGTAGGTTAACTGGAAGCATTTTATAAACATATATAGAATATACAGGGTGTCCCCAAAAAAAGTTACACATCAAAGTTGTGTTTTTTCTAATGGAACACCCTTTAATTGATTTTCGGATTCTGGGAATAAAATAAAGGTGAGTTTTATTAAAGAAGCATATACCTAAAATCTAAGGATTTTGACATATTTAACCTAACCTAACCTAACCTAACAGCTTTTTTTTATATAAATTTTAGTTGACTTTGTATAGGCTGATATTTAATTAGGGTAACCATTGTATGTTAAACCAAATTGAAATTTGACCCGAAAAGTTATACAGGGTGAGACAAAATTAAAATGGAACATTAGTCACTTTTAAAAGCAAGTTACTCCTTTATTTTAAATAGAACACCTAGTATATTATTCCGGTGTTTAACGGGGAATTTATATATCTTCAAAATATTATTAAGGTTGCCTAACCTCTCAGACAAAAATGTTCCTAGAT